GGGGGGGTGGAGACAGTGGGAAAGGTGACCCTTTGTTTTATATAGATGTATAGACTATATAAAATAAAACATGTAATTGTATAATTCTACTATATGTAGGAAACATCCAAACTTACTCACAATATGCTTCCAAAGATACCGGCTAGGAGCGGAGTAAATAAGTTGTAACGGGTGAGAAATCATATAACTGTGTATACTTATTATTTAAAACTGGTTTGACATTTTGGAAATCTGCTATGGGGATCAAAATACAGGAGCAAGTATCCCATAAGGTTGGACTTGTAGAAGAGAGGTCGGCAATTTAAGAAATACTGTATACATAATTGTCTTAACTGTAAATGTAGTTAGCTACATGAATTGTCATGGTAACATGGTCTATTTGATTTTTTAGCTGAACGCCAATGTAATAATGTAAAGAAAAGATTTATTGGCACGTGATGAAACAATGAAGAAGGTGGAAGGTTGACCGAAAATATTGTTGCGGACATCTTTATAGACGCAATGAGAGAAAAAAGCATTGCACGTGATAAGCCACCAACGAGATACCATCAGCAATTGTTTGATCTCCTAAGCCAGTCCCAGGAACCCCAAGAGTGACACACTTTTGCCTGAAACTTTCTAGAACATTCACATTACATAGCTTATACATTACGTGGAGAATGGAACTTTGTTTTTGCTTTATTTAAACTATGTATGGACAGACTTTGTTTATGCTTTTTTTTTTTGGCTGGCTACTATTTTTGACTTATAGGATCAGGAAGTTATCACTTATTGTAACTTTCTTTATGTTTTCTTCGGAAAATGTGGTAACTACGTAGTTATACTGTGTATGGACAGTTTAATCCTATATCTGGTTACAACCAGATATATAGTATAATTCTATATCTGGTTGCATTTGATAACCAGATATAAGATTCTCTTATGGTAAGTTTTGATGCTTTCTTTTGACCATGTAGTAGCTACATATTTATACTGTGTATGGACTGTTTGCTATTTTTGTTTACAGTTCCATCCATCATATTTATACTATTTATGTTTGCCTTTCATCAACCCATGCAAACTATATCTACTTTCAAAAGTTGGTGTTCAGTAAGTTTTTTATGAGTATATGCTTATGCTTTTTTTGTTGGCTACTCTTCTAGGATCTGGAAGTTACCACTTGTTGTAACGTTCTTTATGCTTTCTTTTGAAAATGGGATAATTACGTACTTATACTATGTATGGACAGTTTAATCATATGGTTGCATTTGACAACCAAAAATAGGATTTTCTTATGCTAATTTTTTATGCTTTCTTTTGACCATGGAGTAGCTACATAATTATACTATGTATGGACTATTTAATTCTATGTTATCAAAATACAACTTATATAAGGTAATGATTTGTAACGACCCTATCCGACTCCAAATTGGTGATGGTGTAATTATTGACTGAAAAACAAATAATAAAATAACTCTCATTGTTTACTATCAAGAAGACAGTAAAAGCTTACAAATAAAAAAAACAAAAAAAAGAACAAATTAATGTTAGAGTTCCTTTTTACACCGTCTCTGATTTTGTCCTAACTGACCACATCTACCACATCTACCACACTTTACTGTCGATCTCTTTTCAACAAGGGCAACAAGTCTCTTTTTTCGTGGCTCGAACGTAATCAATTATGTCGCGCGGACTACAATATCTCCCGTTGTTTTTGCTTAATATTATCTTCGCACAATCACTTATCATTGTTGTAGTCGCTTGCTTATGGTCATTACGAACAACATCAATTGAACAAGTGTGCTTTGGTACGAGTTTTCTAACAATCTATAATTTACCATCTCTATATCAAGAGGAGTAACTATACCACTTACATGTTTCTTTGATGCACCTTACAACTAGCTATTTTTTTGGATTCGGGAGTTTTAAACTGAAAACTCCCCTTTAATGCAATCTCATAAAATGCCTTATTCAATTTTTTTTTTATTTTGAAAAACACAAAATTCTTCCATCTTGAAATTCGAGGGAGCATAATCAAAATCAATAGGGTCCATGAAGATAAATTTCTTCCCCCTAAGGTAAACTACATTCTAATTGGCGTTCGTTTTTCCGTTGCCCCCATAGATGGTATTATATACGAGGTTAGTGTCCACAACTATGCAGCAGCCATTGCACATAACATCCGACAGAAGGGATATGGCCCACACCACATCCCTGTTCACATTATTCTCGCGTTGATTGATTTAATTTCTAAAAAAATGTAGCAAAACTCATGAATTAGTTAGGTTTGTTATACATCTTAATTATATTATGTTGGAGACAAATTAATAATATTTTAAAATAATTTGAATGATACAGGTAGATTAGGCTATTTGATTATGTTGATTTGGTAGTTTGATTATGTAGATATCTTTCTGGTTTGGTTATGGAGAGATTTTAGGGATTTGACGGTTTGATCATGTGATTTCTGGAATGTGGGTGGTTGAAAACCTGGAGGGGTAAAATGGAGAAATGATGGAATGACAATATGGGCATGAAATGTGTGGAGAGGTAAATATGGAATTCTACCATTCCCCTAAATTTAGAGGATTCAAATATGACCATCATATGCAATTCACGAAAATTTTGATCATTTTTCATTACGGTATCCTATATATAGCGGAAAAAAAAAGAGTGAAAGTCATTGGGTCATGAATAGGCTCAATTTATGTTGCCCTTTGTTTTTAACATATCTTTATATATATACACACACGTTACTAACTTTTTTTAGGTTGTGTGCCCTGGTTATAGCCATAAAACCGAAGTTTCTTGTTGTCGTGGGTTTTATACATTTGTGTTGCTGCACAAATATCAAAGAGTCGTCGTGGAAGTTTTGGTAAAGCATAAAAGTCGAGATCCTGGAGTTGTAGTGTGTTATCGGCAACCTGATCTCGTGAGTATTGGTGAGGTTTTTCATCCATATATTCCTAGGATTCTATTGTTATAGTTTCTAGAAGCTAGGTGGTTTTTGCGAGGCCTCCAGAGTTGAGATATTGTATCGCCCATTGTATTTATCCCAATGTCATTGTAAAACCCATTGTCACGGAAGATTGGACATAGCACATAATTGGGTGAACTATTGTAAATTATTTGTGTTGTTTATGTGCTTTATATACATCTCTTATATATTATTATTGTGGTTGATTGTATTTTCACTGAAAATTTGTGGAAGGCGAAAAGTTTCTTGATGAGTAAATTTTTCCAAAAAAACAAGTAAAGAAAAGTGCGCTTCTTGCAAATTTAAGGCTTTCTTGGTTTTGGCTCTAGATGCAACAATCTCTCACTTGGGACAAAACAATGTCACTCATCTTGGCAAGCCCATCAAGGTTCAGTTTTGATACCACCATCAACAACCTATTCTCATTGCCTCTGATACCACTTGTTTGGAAATTAATGCTCGACATAATTTTCCCTTCCACGATTATCCAGCAAAAATCAATAATAAGAGATTAATGGAAAGCACGTAAACAACACAACAAAATTATACTGAGTTCGCCTAACAATGGCATTTGGCTCATATGCATGTTCCACTAATATGACAATTGGATACGATAACTCACGAGTATCTTACCCAGATATTCATCCTCCAGAGGTTCCAACAAAAGTCAGACTTCTAAGTATTCAAACACTCTACTTCGGTACAAGAATGAAAAACCTTACAAGAATTCCAACAACGGATTGTCGACGACACACTACAATCCAAGGAAATCGTTCTTTTCTTCTATGCCAAAGCCTAGTGCCACCACGCCTAAAAAATTGCTTCTGCCGATTTTTTAACTCACCAACCAAAACCTAAAAAAAAAGAAGAAAATATATATAGCCTGCTGTATAAGAGAGCTAATCTGTATAAGAGAGCAAATTAAAGGTGTTTAAGAAGAAAAATTGCAGATTTTCTATGCAAAGGAGTTAGAATTATATTACTTGCTGATTCTGCAGGTCCGTGAGGTAGTTGCTAATTGAGCATTTCTTCAGTGTATTGAAAATGTGGCTGCGGTGTAGATCGTGTTGTATCTTCAATTTGATTAATGTATTAAAAGTATGAAACAAATAAAACAAAGTCGAAGTAAATCTTATTCAATCATCCTGCTAGACCAAAATCATTTACATCTCACCCAGGAACAAGATTGGGTAAATGAATATTGGTAGTATAATTCATGTTATATTTTAACTGATCTTAAACAACATATTGAAATAGATTTTAAAAAACCACACATATTTAGGGCCCATTATTGATTTCTTTTATGAGATACATTATACTGCTTTAAAGGGTTGGATATAGAGACCAAGCAACAAAGAGCGTAAATGTAAGTATTCTTTTAATATGTCAATAGATAATATTAATTTTACTCATTTCAATGGTCTAATTCATATATTTTTGTGTGTAATAAAGTAATATATGTTGATCTCAAGATCAAGATGAAGGCATACACAAAGACTGATGAAGAGATTATGATTATGGTCCTTAGAAAAGAGATACAAAGAAGGAACGAGAGATACCAACGCTACTTCAAATTATGAAGAAGTTGTTGAATGAATTAAAGTACCAACACAGAGATAATTTAGATACCAAAATATATAAACATAAATCCAAAGGTTTTATATAGTCATATAGTCTTAATTAGTTTCAATGGATTCAGTAGCGTTCTCATCTTGGAAGCTCGTCGTCACTGTACCCTAAAGAGTTCAATGAGTAAGTCGTTGTAATTGATTGACTTTCTTCAATAATCTCTAAACAATGTTGAGACTTCCTTAATTCTTCTAGTTCCAAATATACTTGCCTCATGGTAGGCCTATCTTTCCCCTTTGATCTTAAACATTTAGTAGTAAGTTTTGCTACAGCGCTAACAGCCTCCATCTTTTCTTCATTCGCTACTACAATATCTAGAATTTCAGCAAGCTCATTAGACTTTTCCAATGAAACGAAGTAGTCTAATAGAGTTTTGTCCTCATTCTTCGCAAATGTCACAGGTAGCTTACCAGTTAAAAGCTCTACCATTAAGACTCCAAAGCTATAGACGTCACTCTTTTCAGTGTATTGACTTGATCTGAAGTACTCTGGATCGATATATCCAAATGTTCCTTGCACTTTCGTTGTCAGATGAGATTGATCACTTGACACAAATCTTGACGTTCCAAAATCAGAAACTTTTGCACTATATTTATCATCCAAAAGTACGTTTGAAGACTTGATATCTCTGTGAAAAATTTGAGTTGAAGCTGTAGAATGCATGTAAGATATGGCTCCTGCAACTTCTGAAGCGATTCTAAGACGAGTTTCCCACGAAAGAGAAGGTGATTCTCCAGGATCTTTCTTGTGAATGTGGTGTGAAAGCGTTCCATTTGAAACAAATTCATAAACTAGCAAAGGAAACTCAGTTTCTAAACAACAACCCAGAAGCCTGACAATATTTCTGTGGTTTATTTGAGAAAGGATAATAACTTCATTAATGAATTGATCGATCCAGCTTGCCTCAATTTGCTTGGACCTTTTAATTGCAACAATATTGTTGTCATGAAGCATTCCTTTATAAACTGTGCCATACCCTCCTTGACCAAGAAATCTACTTTCACTATATTTATCCGTTGCCTGCTCAAGCTCTTCTTGTGTAAAAATTTTGACTCTCTTGGTATCTTCCAGCAGTTTTTGTTGCAATAGGAGGCCACCATTTTGCTTGAAAAACTTTTTCTTATGAAGTTTCTCTCTTCTTTTCCTCAGTATTAAACTTATAACCATTACCATTATACCTTCAATTAACACAAAGATATTAGTTAGCAATCAAAAAAATAAGAAGTAATTTGAGATATGAAACGAGATTGGTATAAGTTCAATGAGTGTGTTGAGATTTTTATACAATTAAACTCATGTGTATGCGTCCTTGACGCTCAGACGAGATATAACTATAAAATCAATATTTTTTTTCGAGCTGTTTTGCTGCTAAAATAACATCTAAGATGGGATACCTGCAAGTTGAATAACGGTCGGAAGAACTACATTCCTTATTTCACAAATATTAAAATAAATAGTTAACCCATTTCATTTGAACTTATCTAACTAATTTTGATCAAATCCAGCTTATTTAACCCATCCATTAATAATTAATGGAATTCAGATTGATCAAAATATTTATATATATAGAAGACAAATATAAGCAAAACAACACAATAATTAATAATAATTCAATCTCAAGAAACAAAAAGGAAAAGAAAGCACAATAATTAAAATCCACACACATGCAGAGAGAGAGAGGAAAGAGAGAAACCTAAAGAGGCTGATATCATATATACGGGGAAACTTGAAGAAGTATCACTGCTGTTGCTGTCGGATATTGTACTGATATCATTTTGGCCCAAAGGAAGCAAAAGAGGCGTGAAGGGGTAGATGTGGCTTGAATTTGAGAGCTTGTTTGCTTCCAAAACGCTTTCTTCCTCGACCCCAAAATCCCTTGCAACCGATGCAATTGTTTCATTTGGATGTAGTACATACACAGCCAAGGACTCGACTCCATTAGCCTTCTGAGCTTTGGTAGGACAAGCACATCGCAAAGGAACTTGGACTACTCTCCCTATCGAAGAAGTATTATCGATAACATAGTCTTGGTTTCGACTTCTCAACGACGAGCAGCTTGTTAGGCCTTGAAAAATATCATTCGCTATTTTCTCATAGCTATCACCACTCTCGATAGTGTAGTCTATAAATTTGAGAAAGAAATTACCTGAACATTCACAAGAAACGTTAAACAAACCATAGTTACGTACTTTAAGATTAGAGAGAGGATGGAAGAGATGGGAAAGAGTGTCGGGGGTGGATCTGAAGGCCAAATATGAAGTACATGGAGAAACAGGATGAGTGCATAAGTAATTTTTTGGCGTTGGAGTATTAGAGAGAGAGCAGCTGTCATTTCCCAAATACGTCTGTTGGCTAAGGGATTGTTGAGGAAAGAGGAAAAGGAAGAAGATGAGAGAAACAAACCAAGCCTCCATTGCTTTACAATTTTGGTTCGGCTTGGCTTCTTGTAGTTGCTTTATAATTTAGATTACCAGTCATGGTTGGCTTCGTGTGAAAATAATGAAAATTAAATCAATTAAATTCTTTTTGTTTACAGAATTTTAAAATGCGCATAGATTTATATGGCACCCATAACTTTTAGCACCAAACAATAGTGAATTTGAATTTCCTATCTCTACTTATTTTGTTGTATTAAAGTAAATTTATTAAAAGGTTTTTATTTGCTTTAATTGATTTAAATATTATCATTATTATTATTGTTTGTTTTTCAAATGTAAAATTTTTGTTAAGATCTTACCCTGATTTATAATAGACATGAGCTACTCCTCTAATTGTCAATTGATTTTGAGATGGAACTGCATGAATATTAATATGGTATCACAGTCCAAAACGCTCAAACGAGCAACCGACACATTGAAAATGAAAGGGACCTTACAATAACATAAGAGGCCTATGTTCCACCTTGTTTGATTTCTCATAGAAGAAGGATTTTTGTCTTCTTTAGAAAAAAAAATTATTTAACAATCTTAATTTAACAACCTCTTATTTTTTTAACCAAAAAAAATCTTTTTTTTTTAAGCCTCATACTTTTAAATATTAATATTTGGACATTTTACTCCAATGATATTTAGGATATGTTTGGTATGCAATTTAGATTATGTTGGATTTCCAAATTCACTTAATCACGTAGATTTAATAAATATTATTTTATAATAAATAAAAATACATCTAATGAATATATATTTGGCATGTTTATTTTTTAAAGCTATTCTCAAATTTTTGTGATTTGGAAATTTTTAAAAAATAACATTGTCATGTTTTCAGTTTTTTCCTATTTTTAATTTGAAATTTGAAAATTCAAAATTACATTAAAAAGGACAAAAACTAGAATAAATATAATATTTCATGTCATCGAGATAAACTTATTTAAATTTTTTCTTTTTAAAACTTAAAACTCGTAAAATATACTTATATAGCTTATTGTAAAATAATAATTCTAAATAATTAATAAGATATATGTTAATAAATTAATTAATATTATTTTATATTAAACTAAAAATTTCGTAGAACAGTCAACAATAATTCAACTTGAAGGAAATGAATTATGAGTTTATGTCCTTATTTTTGTTAGATATGCTTTTAATTATAAATTTATAATTAAAACCATATCTAACAAAAACAAGGACTAAATTCATGACTCATTTCCTTATATATATATATAATAAAATTATATTACAAAAAATACAGACAGAAAGAAAAAGGATAGCTCTAAACTTTATGAAATAAAATTAACAAATTATGTTTTAAATAATTTTAATCATTTGCTTCAATTTAATTTTGATCAGTTATTAATTTTTAGAAAATATTTCAAATCTGACTAAAACCATGTCATCTATAATATGTTTCAATGTTTTTTTAATTTGATGACCAGTTTTGATAGAAAAGTAAAATGAGATAAACTATAATTATAAAGGTGTTCAAAATAATTTAAAGTTAAAAAAATATATGGAGTTTTATGGGGGTATAAGAGTGAATTTTATGTCAATTGGAGTATAGCTCAACGATAACTAACATTTACTCTTTCTGTTGAAGTCCGAAATTCAAACTTTCATACTCCATTTTGTTGTTAAAAAAAAGAGTGAACTTTATAATTATTTTAATAATTAATTAACTTTGAAAATCACACAAGCATATAGTCACTAGTCAAGTCAATTGCTTAAATAAATTATAAAATTAAGTCAGTGTCAATGATGTGATTAATTTGGAGGGACTTATATTACAAGTAGAACGATTCAAATTTTAAAATTAAAATAAGTTCCTTTCCATGGCATCATTTTCAATATTTGAGATCAAAATAAAAAGAACCACACAATTCTATTCATTTGCCCTTATTCCTATCTTTCTTTTATCTTCTATCATTTTCATGAATCCTGTCCACTCACTTTAAATTTTAGTTCAAAGAAGTCAATAGCTTATGTTGGAGGTAGATTTTAGCTCACACGTGGCGCACGTTAATTGGAAGATGAGTATTACACGTGGTTTTCATAAATATGCTTCAAATGTCACCACCTCGATCCCATGTTCAATGCCCCAGTCGACGTCTTGCGTGGCCGAGCCGACCAAGCTTCATAGAGATATGCTCCCACTCCGTTAAGTTGATCAGCTTCATCTCGGCTCAGCCCCAATCTCCGACAGACTCCACGACAATGCGCCGCGATTCACGAGCACCTTAAAGAGCCGTTGAGGCATTAAATTGATGACTTAACACACGTTAAACATATATCAGAGGTTAAGTCAGTTGCGCATTCCAAAAAAGAGTAGAACACACGAAAATAAATAAAGTGTTCATTAAATTGTGAAGTAGATGGCTGAAATCCCCTCGTACCAAATCTTATCGAAAGGCTTTAACCGGTCTCTAATCTCTCTAATGTCGTATTGATCTGAGGAGAGGGCCGAGGCACAGCTGCGAAAATATAAATATATATAAATATATATCTGTGTGTGTGTGTGTGTTCAAAATTGAATGTTAGATAGAAGAGACAATACGACTACCTGTTCATAGTGACGAGCCACTCACTCGAGACGAAGAACCAACTGTCTCGCCAATGTTTATTGGCTGAGGACGAGTCTACAATCTTGCAAAAAGTGTTCCGAGCTGAAATATGATATTGACCTGGAGACTCTTTGTAGTGCTTTATGATATGTGTGGCAAAGAATTGACCTACATCTAGGAGCATACTCTCGTCGCCTGCACTGAAGCTCTACCAAGTGAACCACAAGCCGAGGAGAGTGGAACACTCATTAGGCACCAGCTTAGTCGGGCCCAAGTTAGTGGGTCACGTTGAATGAATGGGTGTAAAGGTAACCGAACCCCGCGGTCGAACATTTGGGGATAAAAGCCTACCTACCCTAGTGGAGGGTTGTCTAAGGTTTTTCCGGCTTGAGGAAGCCTCATTTGTATTCTATTTGAGACCCTGTGGTTAAGGGTGTGGGCCACCACAACTTGAAGTAGATGCCCCACCTCTTTTTGACTCTATCTTATTTTGGCTCGACTCTAACCTAGAAGTTGACGCGTCGTCCCCTCGACCTACGAAGACCCTAATAATTACACCCTCGGACTCACTAGACAACTCACTCATTAACCAAAGAAAATAAGAAGTGACCTAAAGGGATGTCTGAAGCGAGGTAATCTTCGAAGCGAGGGAGACTTTTGAGAGAATTTGAAAGCTTGCATACACGAAAAAGTGATAAATTAACTCTCTTATTTATAGAAAGTGATGATGTCATCTCGATCGTTTAAAAAATTTAGATCCAAGGGTCCAGATTTTATCCCGCCAAAACCAGCTTAGCATGACGTCATCATACGTCAACTTGATCATTCAAATTCCACCTAATCTGGTTCGCACTTTCCCATCACTACACCATTCAAGGACGACACTGAGTTGAGGCAACCTTGGCACCGCAGCACAATGGGGCCCAATGTTGGAGGTAGATTTTAGCTCACACGTGGCACAAATTAATTGGAAGATTAGTATTACACGGGGCTTCCATCAATATGCTTCAAATGTCACCACCTCGGTCTCATGTTCAATGCCTAAGCCGACGTCTTGTATGGCCGAGCTTTCATATTTCAAATGTCACCACCTAATCATGTTATTTTGTTTTTTAAGAACTTTCATATTTCAATGGCAGGCAAAATATTGACATGCCACGTGGAAGAATAAGGAAAGATCATCTCACGTCACCTTTTTCCTGAGTAATCTTGAAAATGTGCAATGACCGAGCGATTAGCCCAATGAAGGCTAATATAAATACCTAGCATTGTCATCCATGGACTTAGTAGGTCAACGCCAACGTATCCCACACAAATTGTCTGTAACGGTACTGCAACTCATTTATAGAATGGTAGATCTGCTTTTATGTTCTTATATTTTTAGGTCTGTTTTAAAATATTGTAGAACTGTATTATTGCATAAATTAAAGTTGTATTATGTGATATAATGTAGTGTGTTACATATATATTACTGCATTCCAAGTTATTTTTTCTGATTCATAGTGGTGAAATTTGCTAATATTGCAACAGTATAGATAGTTGAGTGGTAATTGACATATATCTCCAACCAATAGGTTGTGAGTTCGAATCCCCACCCCACGTGTTGTGAAAAAAAGGGAAAGAAATTTACTAATATTTATTATTGAAAACTCTTGAATTATATTCAGAAAATGCATGGTTCTTTATGAGTAAGCAAATAATTTTAAAAAACAAATACCATTTTCATATTTCTTTTTAAGGTTGAGCAAAAGAGAATATTTTTGTTTCTCTTGTTTAAAAAAAAAGAAAAAGAAAGAAAGTGAATATTGTTGGTTAGCTAGTATGCAACCAACAATATTATATTTTTTATTCGATCATTAAAGAAACGATGAAATGTATTGCCCGTTATTAAATAATATTGGAGACCATTTTCCTCCGGGATGCATTAAAAATTAATCTCACCCACATTTATATTGTATATTATTTTTTGTTATGTTGTAAAGTCATTAATAGTCATGTTTTTTTTTTATTATTCATTGCTTATAAAATGAGGACTAATTTGAAGTTTTTACCCAATCTAAAAACAAAGAACAAAACAATAGTCATGTACATTTTCCATAATTCTTCCATTATTTAATTTTCTCGTTCCCGTGTAGGTACATCAAAAGTTTCAAAATTCATTTTATGTACATATTCATGATTCTCAGTTAGGATGAATTAGGGTCTATCATATCCTAGGCTTTTTTTCCCTAAGAAAGTTAAATTTTGAAAAAAAAACAAGTTTATCTTTTACCTGCAATATTTCTTGTTCATGCACAAATTAAAAAAAAAAAAGAAAAACTAT